CAAAGTATGCAAAATATGCAAAATATATGCAAAATATGCAAAAATATGCAAAATATATGCAAAAATATGCAAAATATGCAATCATATGCAAAATATGCAAAAAATGCAAAATATATGCAAAATATGCAGAAATATGCAAACATATGCAAAATATATGCACGGTATGCTAGGTCGCAATATTAAAGATAGAACTTTGAAATTTTGCACATATATTATTATTACTCCTAGGATGTTTGGTATTGGAAATGGGATATATCGGTCCACGTTTTAGTATATCGCCATATAATAGTTATATATGTTTGCATGTTTTATACATATATTTAGCAAATTTTTCATAATGCCCCAAAAATCTAACAGTTGAACCATGAAACGCATACATACACAATTAGATTTCTATAGGTTAAAAATAAAGAAAGCACACAAATTCGAAAACTAACCTGAAATTTTTTTTTTGATTAAAATGATTGCATATGTGAAATATGTTGCTCATATTTGCACATATTTTGCATATTTTGCATATTTTTGCATATTTTTGCATATTTTGCATATTTTGCATATATTTTGCATATTTTGCATATATTTTGCATATTTGTGCATATTTTGCATATATTTTGAATATTTTTGCATATTTTGCATATGTTTGCATATTTTGCATATTTTTGCATATTTTGCATATTTTGCATATTTTGCATATATTTTGCATATATTTTGCATATTTTTGCATATTTTGCATATATTTTGCATATTTTGCATATTTTGCATATTTTTGCATATTTCGCATATTTTGCATATTTTTGCATATTTTGCATATTTTGCATATATTTTGCATATTTTGCATATATTTTGCATATTTTTGCATATTTTGCATATTTTTGCATATTTTGCATATTTTTGCATATTTTGCATATATTTTGCATATTTTGCATATTTTGCATATGTTTGCATATATTTTGCATATTTTTGCATATTTTGCATATTTTTGTATATTTATAGCATATCGACCTAGCATACCGTGCATATTTTTTTGCATATATTTTGCATATTTATCGCATATCGACCTAGCATACCGTGCATATTTTTTGCATATTTTGCATATTTTAGCATATATTTTGCATATTTTATGCATATATTTTGCATATTTATTGCATATCGACCTAGCATATTTTGCATATTTTTTGCATATTTTGCATATATTTTGCATATTTTGCATATTTTTTGCATATTTTGCATATATTTTGCATATTTTGCATATTTTTTGCATATTTTGCATATTTTGCATATTTTTTGCATATTTTGCATATTTTTTGCATATATTTTGCATATTTTTTGCATATATTTTGCATATTTTTTGCATATTTTTTGCATATTTTTGACATGACCCCAAATATCGATCAATTAAAGCATGAAACGCCTAAATACAAAATTTGAGTCCAATCGGATAAAGCATAAAAAATATGCAAAAATCCGAGGTCTAATCATAATAGCATACATATTTTTATTTTTAGGCTTGAAGTGTTTTACTCTCATACCTCCTATCATGGGGACGCACTACGTCGCGATTTCATATAAACAGCAGCCAAAATAGAGGGAGTTATAGTTCATCAGATTTTCAGAACACACATCAGGAATATATTACAATTTTTTCCCCAAATTTTCGATTTAGTGGCATCCATGTTTTTTAATCCAAGCCACCAAAATAAACACTTTTATAATTAACGTTAATTTAAATATTCAAATATTTTAGCATCAGACAAATGTAACCATTTTTCGAAAATAAGGTAAACGTGAAAAGTTGTTAAGTTCGGCCGGGCCGAACTTTGGTTATCCTCCATCATAGGTATGTTGACAGTTACTTGAAATTACAGTTCCAATCCCACGTGGAACTATTCTATTTCGAATGATCTTGGAATATGTTAACCTCCAGAAACGAGATTTATTGTAAACTACTGACGACCAGAAACATTATGTTACTGCCAAAAATATATGGAGGATATATGGAACATACCAAAAAGTGACCTATACCGACAACATGTGTATAAAATCAAAATACAGACATTTACAGGGCAAAGTTATTTGTGGTAGTTCGATATAGTTCATTCTCGGAACTAACGTTCTAGGTTTTTATCTCGATATCCTTCGAAGGTAGAGTGATTACATCAGATGGCTAAATCGACTTAGAATTCCATACTTTGTAGGGTATAAACTGACAATTTCGAGTACAGAATATGGTAGATGGTAGAATAATATGGTAGAATGCGCCTATAGACAACCACAAAATGCGGAACAAAGCAGTTAACTATTTTAATATAAACCAATAAGGAATGATACCCTTCACCACTTTGGGTATATTCAACAGATGAATCCTAGCAGACGTCGCATTTTTAAAGGACCAGTAAAATGAACACGGACGAGAATATATATATATATGGGAGCTATATGCAAATCTGAACCAATTTTCGCAAAACTTAACACACATCGTTCTAGACCTAACTCATTACGCTGTGCCAAATTTCGTGCAAATCGAATGATATATAGGGACTTTAGTGGACCATTTACATTAAATCAGACGAAAATATATATGGGAGCTATATCTAAATCTGAACCGATTTTCAAGAAACTTAACACACATCATTCTAGACCTGATTCATTACGCTGAAGCGATTTTCAAGAAACTTAACACACATCATTCCAGTCCTAATTCATTACGCTGTGCCAAATTTCGTGCAAATCGAAAGATATATAGAACCTTTTGGTTCACCATTTACATTAAATCAGACGAAAATATATATGGGAGCTATAGCTAAATCTGAACCTATTTTCAGGAAACTTAACACACATCATTCTATACCTAATTCATTACGCTGTGCCAAATTTCGTGCAAATCGAATGAAATATAGGGACTTTGGTGGGTTATTTACATTAAATCGGACGAAAATATATATGGGAGCAATATCTAAATCTGAACCGATTTTTCCCAATTTCAATAGGGTTCGAGATTTGTTACCAAGTACGACTACAAAATACTAAATTTCAGCGCATTCGGTTGGAAAACGCACTTAAAAACCCCAAAATACCGAAAATTATTGGTGCCCTTATATGGGGGCTACAAGGAAAATACGGCCTATACTTATATATTTTTTTTTTGTGGAGAGATTTGGTACTCAATTCAGCGAATTCGGTTGAAAAACGCGCTCAAGAACCCGGAAATACCGAAATTGGATGTACCGTTATATAGGGGCTACCAGAAAAAATGGACTAATATTTATAATTTTTAGTGACGAGATTTGGTAAATTAGGGGTACTGTTATATAGGGGCTACCAGAAAAAAATGGACCAATATTTATAATTTTTAGTGGAGAAATTTGGTTGAAAACGCGTTCAAGAACCCCAAAATATCGAAACTTAGTGGGCTATCAGAAAAAGTGGATGTATATTTATATTTTTTAGTGGAGAGATTTGGCACCCAATAAGAACACAATGTACCAAATTTCGGCAAATTCGGTTGAAAAACGACTGTACCTTTATATGGGGGATAACACCGTAATGTGTGAATCGAATGTGTGAATCGAATTCGGCCAAATTTGCGAGTATATGACTAAAAAATTATAACTAAACTTTGATTTCAGACAAACATTTAAAAAAAAAAAATCACTTCGGGGTATTCTTTTGAAACCACCTTCGTTATTTTGGGGATTTTTGATCATCGGTTAGTCTAAAAATTGTGAATGTCGGTCCACGGTTCGGTATAGATCCCCATTTTCAGTATTTTCAATGTTCTAGCAGCATTTTCTCATCAAAGTGAAAGTAGGGAGGACGAACAATTTTTTTCGAAATAATTTCGATGTATGACAATGGATAAATTATTGATGGTTTTTGTCGCGTTTTCCATCGAAGTGGATGTAATTGGGTATTAAGGGTTCTTCGAGAGTGAACAAAGATCTTTGTAGAAAATATTCAGTATTGAACGGAACAACACTAGTTTAGTAAAATCGATCAGGTTTTTTTTTTGACATTTTTTTAAAAGAAAAGTATTATTACTCTTATCCGGTTACCCGGTTATTTGACCCGGGTACCCGGTTCTACCGAACCGATTAATACAAAATAGGTAGACGGTATTAAAAATACCCATCTATTGAGTGATGGGGTTATCTAAATCCTTCGATTTATGAATTTCCTTGCAAGTATTTGTATTGGATCCAAAACAGATAATGTCACAAATAACACCATTTTGGAAAGCTCAAAGTGTAGTCTATCACTTAGGAAAGAATTATTGTCAGCCTATAGGGGACCCCTGTTCGGGAGTTTCCGAAAAAAACGGAATGTAGGAATTCATCAGAAGTTCGTTTTTCCCAAAAATTCGAATATAGATGTTCTTATTTTTGGATCCTTGTGGATTTCTAATCGTGATATTCTTAAATTTTCCCAAATAAACAGACAATTTACAATGATTTAGTTTTTTTTATAAAGGTCACGACCTATTTTAAAAAATTTTGAATGCATACCACATCATGGTGGAGGGTGTACAATATTCCGTTTATCCGAAATTACCTCCTTGTTTAATTATTTGTACTACATATAAGAAGAAACTGTTATCTTTTACAGCAATTTCTTTATCACGGACAAAACCCAATACCAAAATTTTCTCCAGCAATATTCTATATCTTAAACCACTGGTACATTTGTGTGTGGTGTTTTTAAGACCATTTTCTACTATATTGTTTAAAGTTTTTGACAATTGATTTTATACAGCATTTCCTTTATCACAGACCAATCCACAACAAAATCCAATACTATTATATTTAATACACTTTTTTGTACAATAGTTTTAACAGAGAAATCCCATTCATTATCGATAAAAAATCACAAACAAATATTTAGAGCTTCAGCTCTAACCGATCTCCAATAGAAGGGGTACCATATTTAAAAAAAAAACACTTCGTACTCCATGTTGTTTTTTTTTTATTTATTAAATCAAAAAATATATAACTTTTTTTTACTTTTTAACAAAAAGGTTCCGTTGGTACAACATCCTTAACGAGCCCGGAAATCAATGCAAGCAATTCCACCAATGAGATATTTTTCAAAGCAGCATTTAAAGGAGGTACCACCAATCCCTCCACAAAATTACTAACACCTTCCGAATTATCTTCTTCAAATGTCAAGGCGATAAATTCCTCAACCCATGAATTGAAAAGTTTATTATAAATCAAACTGCCACCCATGATGCCGGTAGTCTTCGACTTGGATGATTCCAATTCAAGTTTAACGTTAAAACTTTTTACACTAACTCCACCAGATAAATTGGGGCGCAATTTAAAACTACCACTGGCACGCAGATTTATTAATTCCAAACTGAAGACGCCATTGCCATGGAAACCCATTGATGGACCCAAAGCACTTGTTCGAGCATTTAGTTTATACTCGGAACTATGGAATAAAATTGAGGGGAATTTAAAATCAAATTTGATTTTTTGCAACACATTATTCCAATTCAGATCGATGATGTCGAATTCATTGAGGCCAGATATTTTTAAATTTGTCATGTTGCCTTTGAGACTGGAGAATTAAATTTTAAATTATTTATTTGGAATTATTATTTTTATTTTTCCTATCTCACTCACCTCCATCCCCCACCCTGCATATCGAACTCGGCAAACTCTTGCTGATATGGTGCCATGGGTGGTATTCCAGCTGGTGCATAGCCACATTGCATTTGCAATTTAACAAATTCCATAAATTCTCTTAAATCATCATCGAATTTCGTGCGTCCCTCAGGTGCTAATTTGGTGTCATCAATCAAACGATAGGCTTGACAATTGTTTAGACAGATGCCCACCGTAATGGCAAATATTAAAAATTTGGAAATGTTCAACATTCTTTCTTGTTTTCGGACAAACGATATTTAATGCGACCGAGACACAATTGTTTCTGTGAATTTTGGCATTAACTTAAAAATAGTTGATTGATTTTATGACAATACAGGTGTTTTTTTATTTATGATTAGATTTATTTGTTATTTTTGTTTTTACTAAACAGATAAGGATTAGTAATCAAAAGATATGCAATCGTTCTCAAACTGTGCTTTTAATTTCGAAACGCCTAAAAGTAGGCAACATAACTTGGTATGTGATTACTGCCAGAAAATTTAATTTATTGGAACAATGAAGGGAATTCCAATTGGAAACTTAACTGGATATTGATGGTGCTCTTAGTAGAAAAACGGGACTCATGGTAGGAAAATTGAAAGATATTACAATTAGAATATTTATTGGAAATTCGAAAGACTCTTAATAGAAGTTTCCTGTAATTGGAATTGATTCAAACTTAGTTTAATAAAAAATAATAGTCTGTGAAAGAGTTCGCATATAGGAAATTTTTGGGGACACTAATTCTTCTTCTAAAAATGTAATTGCTTGTAGTTTTCTTGGTATTTTTGGAAAGTGTAAACCTTTGGATAAACAAATTGCTGGTATTCTTCCTCTACTAGAAATTTTATGACAGGTATTGGAAGATTTCCACTACTTCCTTCAGCTCCTTCCTTATATCGAAATATATTTGGAGCATTCTATTTAATTTGAAAAATATATCTTCAGAGAACTCCACCCCTCCATCTTTTGGAAGCCATAGAGTAAGCTCCATCTATGACTTCTTCAAAGACTCCATTTCAATTAGCACTGTCGTCACATCAGCTAATCATATAGTCGGCTTCATTGTACATTTCCTCCATAGCAAAATCATACATTTTGGCGTTCTAGGCGAAGATCGGAAAATAGAAGTCCATATAATCTCGCTTGATGTCATCCACTTTCTTTTATAATGCTTTCAAACCTTTGAGTAATCCGCTTTAGTTCCGAATTTATTTCTTCATTCTCTAGCTCAGATGGAAGTTGCTTCATTTCTTCCAACTTATCTTTATTAATATTTACCCATTCATTTAGTAGACCTTCTGGCCGGAAGGGCATTTTTCCTTAAATATGACCATATGGCGTTTATACTCATGGGCGTTTCGATTAAATTCCCCTGTACTTTATCTTCTTCTCATCAAGTCTTGAAGTTTTCTTGGTATTTTTGGAAAGTGTAAACCTTTGGATAAACAAATTGTTAGTACTATTCCTCTACTAGAAATTTCATGTCAGGTATTGGAAGGTTTCCTCTACTTCCTTCAGCTCCTTTCTTATATCGAAATATATTTGGAACATTCTATTTAATTTGAATATAACTACACAGCTGCATCTTTTGGAAGCAATAGAGTGAGCTATATATACAATTTCTTCAAAAACTCAATTTCAATTAGCGCTGTGTTTTTAGTCATGCCAGACAAAACATGTCTCGCGTCGTCACATTGGCTAATTACATAGACGGCTTCATTGTAGATTTCCTCCAAAACAAAATCATATATTTTGGGGTTCTTGGTGAAGATCGGATTTAAGAAGTCCAGATAATCCCGCATGATGCCCTCAACTTTATTTTATAATCCTTTCACGCCATTGAGTAACCCGCTTCAATTCCGAATTTATTTCTTCATCCTTAATATCAGATGCAAGATGTTTCATTTCTTCCAACTTGTCTTTAATAACAGTTACCCATTTGTTGGTAGACTGTCCGGAAGGGTATTGTTTCGTTAAATAGGAACATATGGCTTTTAACTGCTAGGCGTCTCGATTAAATCGCCAGTACTTCCTCTCCTTCTCATCAAGTTTTTTTCCAAAGACTCTATGTAAAAAATCTAACTCTTTCTCCATCTTACTTTAATAAATAAAAAAAAACTGTTCACCTTGTGCAATAGAAAATCTCTAACAATTCTTCAGCTCCTTTCTCAAAATTGCTATTGTATTTTTTATTCTAAGCCAATAGCTTAAAATGACTCCTTCGCTGATTCTACTGAGTCTCTTACTATGCGTGAGGGAAAATTCAGTTATTCGAAGGACCAAAAATGTTAAAGAAATATACAGACAGCCGAAGGTCATATGTATAAGAAATAAATGAGACACGGTTCTTCCGACCATTCATGTTGAATGGTTGTTAGGCACTGATTTTATAGTAAAATATTTATCCTTATGTACAACTTAAACAACTCTTGCTTAGAATTTGATCTGTGGAGAATTTTTACATCGTGTGCGCCATAAAATCATATCTTATAATGATCAAATCTTCTGTAACACAAAATTCTGTTCAAAGTATTTTGAGCAACAAAAATTTTATTTATTATAATAATCGAGAAGAACAAATATTCGGAGTTATTGGCATACATTTTTTTCAAGTGGGAAGTAAATACCTTAGTGGATATTCTCCGTCCACTATAATTTTTATAACAGGTATTACAAAATTTTTTATTTATTATCATCCGACGGGAATGTAGTCGAAAAGAAAAAAGAATTTTGAAGAAGAATTTTGGATATTTCGGTACGAGGGTATTTTTACCAACACATTTAATTTGGAAACCATAGTCCTCATCAGCAATTAAAAATGTCTGTCGATCCATTTCTAATTACTTCAAAAAATTAGTCGAATAGTATTGATCGATGCCTTTCCGAAACTCGTATTTTTTCTATATTCTGCACATTGTGACACATTGCCATTGGCCTGAATTGTAGAAAGAGTAAACCTCTATAGATTCTTTAAAATTTCTGGAATGGGTAAATCTTTGTGAGTGCTCTCTCTTTACTAGAAATTTTATGGCAGAATTGTGGTTATAATCATCCGATGGGATTTTATGTCGAGAAAAAAACTACGGAGATATTAGGATATTTTATTAAAAGTGTATATTTACCAATAAATGTAATATGATTTGGAAATCATATTAACCCCCCCCCCTCACCGGAAAAGTATTGATCGAATATAATTCACCGATGCATTTCAGAATTCCTTCATTAAGACTGTTTTCTATATTCTGGAGAAAGATTATGCATTATCTCCACATTAACCACAACCGTGTGAGTGCAGCAAGAGAAACAGTAGTCAACGGTTGCAAAACTAATAACCACCAAGTGAGGGGAGAGGCGGAGTGCGATACCAAAAGAAGACTTCAAAACAAGTTAAAACGTCGACAAGTTCGATCGGTGCAAATTTATATAGCCTTCTCACCATGAGGTTAGCATTCAAATTAGAAAAACAATAACAAAACAAGCTAAATAATGTAAATTGTCTACCAGGAGGATATCTAACCTGCTTACATATATCAAGTCTACTGAATAAATTTAGCTAGAACCTATAAAAAGCACGGAATGCCCAATTACAGCTACTTCTGTTAGAAAATGCGCCTAGAACTTTGAAAATACCTTAAATGTTAAAACATAGGCATGGTCACGTTGCACTGGTAAATTCTTAGTAATCGATATTTTACTAGATTGTCGAGAAACATTTGTGGTGAGATGGAACGAAGTATAAATAGGAGAGCATGGTAAGGGAGTGAGTTAGTTGTAAAATGTTCGGAACTTGGTCAAAATATGGGCATGTTATTCGCTCTATGATCACGTTGCACTGGTAAATTCTTAGTAATCGACATTTTACTAGATTGTCGAGAAACATCTGTGACGAGATGGAACGTAGTTGTAAATCAGAGAGCGAATTGAAAGAATACGAAACGTAAATCTGTGCAATAAAATTGTGCCAATAAAGCATTGTTGTAATCGTAATCTGTATGGATCCGTGTTCGTCGAGAAATCTCGGTGCCGAGATTCAACGAAGTATACATAGGAGAGAATAGCAAGGCAGTGATCTAGTAGTAAATCAGATCTCGAATTGAAACCATCCGAAACGTAAAGTATAAATAGGAGAGCATGAAAAGGCAGTGAGTTCGATTTAAATCAGATAGCGAATTGAAACCGTCGGTAAAGTAAAGTTGTGGCAATAAAGCATTGTAGTAATCTACAAGCATCCGTGCTTTTTTGTACAGAGTGGTTGAAGGATTTCACAGGTGGTCAATTGTGATCACCTCTTCGAGATATAAAGTCTATAAATATAGTCACGCTTTCGTTGCTTGGGTACTATGTAACGGCATCTTGTTGAAAGTAGCCGCTGTTCAGATCAATACCAACCACTTCAGACCATAAAAAATTAATAATCATACTCCATTATTGCCAGTCCAATCTTATTTCCAAGATAGTAAGGTAAAATGACCCCGCCGGGTGATAAAATACGCAGAACAATACCACGACGAGGATGGAGAGACTTCCGAGCCCCAAATAAGACAATTTTGATTCTTGACAGAGCCACCAAGGTGGAAATGAGCCTTATCAATAACGATGATGCTGGATGAAATTCTTGCAGTTCGGATCATTTCATGTATTTCAAGGACCAAATCAGCATAGACATGACATTGTTGATTACACTGTGACACAAAATCGAGCTCGTTATCTGGGGGAGAAATGTTTCTTATGTCACATGGAATGTGGAATATTTTTCTAGAACATAACCTTCAATCTAGGGTCCACAATACGATATTTTTTGACCTCCAAATATTTTACACCAAATGTTGTTTATAATTTTTTATATAGGGTCCCCAATGAAATAAACCATTTTAAATATTGCCGATTTACATTCTCTTTCCCTCGTCCTCCCCTCCCTCTGGGATTTTTTTACGCAGTTTTCTAAATGTGTCCAATTTATATGAGGTTTGAGAAATGTTAGTTTTGTTTTTATCCGTTTATTTTCCGAATGTTCTGCAAAATATCTGATGTAATTCTGAGATCGACTGTCAATAATAGAATCTTGCAGGTTTGGTAACAGAGCAATTATAACCTGTGTTCAATTGAAAATAAATATTAGAAGAACTAATAAAATAAAAACACATTAACAACTTTTTTCTTTCACTAATACTGGACTTTATATTTCATTTCATAGTAAATTTTTCTCTCTTCCAAATATTGAAAAGAA